TGAGGAGGTTCAACAAGGACAAATGCAGAGCCCTGCACTTGGGACGGAAGAATCCCATGCACTGCTACAGACTAGGGACCGAATGGCTAGGCAGCAGTTCTGCAGAAAAGGACCTAGGGGTTACAGTGGATGAGAAGCTGGATATGAGTCAACAGTGTGCCCTTGTTGCCAAGAAGGCTAATGGCATTTTGGGCGTATAAGTAGGGGCATTGCTGACAGATTGAGGGACGTGATCATTCCTCTCTATTCGACATTGGTGAGGCCTCATCTGGAGTACTGTGTCCAGTTTTGGGCCCCACACTACAAGAAGGATGTGGAAAAATTGGAAAGAGTCCAGCAGAGGGCAACAAAAATGATTAGGGGGCTGGAGCACATAACTTATGAGGAGAGGCTGAGGGAACTGGGATTGTTTAGTCTGCAGAAGAGAAGAATGGCGGTGGGAGGAGATTTGATAGCTGCTTTCAACTACCTGAAAGGGGGTTCCAAAGAGGATGGATCTAGACTGTTCTCAGTGGTACCAGATGACAGAACAAGGAGTAATGGTCTCAAGTTGCAGTGGGGGAGGTTTAGGCTGGATATTAGGAAAAACTTTTACACTGGGAGGGTGGTGAAGCATTGGAATGGTTACCTAGGGAGGTGGTGGAATCTCCTTCCTTAGAGATTTTTCAGGTCAGGCTTGACAAAGCCCTGGCTGGGATGATTTAGTTGGGGATTGGTCCTGCTTTGAGCAGGGGGTTGGACTAGATGACCTCCTGAGGTCCCTTCCAACCCTGATATTCTATGATGATATGTGATCATGTATTTAAAGATTGTATCATAATGCATAAGCACCCAAGGGTATCTCCTTGTTCCCAAGAACCTGATAGGACAATGTTTAAGTAAAGAAACAGGGGTAAGATTGCCACCTACAGAATCACCAGCACTGCTACCTGTATCAGCATAGTTTTCTTTTGAGGATTCTGATTCAAACACTGACCAGGGCAGTCCCTGATTAGCTATTTCCAGTGTTGTCCTAGCTATGTTGGTCCTAGGATATTAGAGAGACAAGGTGTCTCTTTCACCAGCAGAAGTTAGACCAATAAAAGATATTATCTCACCCACCTCATCTCCCTGATTAGCTAGTGAGAGTCGATAGGATCACAGTCTAAGATAATATGGTTGCACGCATTGTCAGATAATACCACTAAACCACCTCAGAAATATTAAAGCTCTGTGTCAACATTTATTAGATTTAAGAGCAGATTTCAAATATGAGGAGAAAGAAAACACTCTCTTGACTATACCTAACAGTACAACCATGGAAAAGTGTGCAGAGTGCCTCAGCATATTCATAGCATCTACTGCCATGAAGCGTAACAGACAAGAACAGTTTGAATTTTCAGGGGTGAGTGAAGGAAGAACTGTCTAAAATAATTTAACCCTGCTAAAGTCATAATGGCTGCCCACAGAGCTACTGCTACCCTGACATCTTTTGGAATTGCTGTCACAAAGAGCAATCTTTAGAACTACAGATGGGCACAAGCTGTGAAAGTTTGCATCTGGCTCTGAACTTCCCAAAAGTTCAGGAGCATTCAGACTTGGGTTCTGTTTTCAGCCAATTATATAGATAGGCTTGAGCCACAAAGAGAGATTCAGATTTCTGTCTCGGCTCAAACTTCCCAATAATTTAGGACAGAGGTGGACAACCTATGGCACGCGTGCCAAAGACGGCACGCAAGCCGATTTTTAATGGCACGCTGCTGCCTGCCAGGGTCCCGCTCAGCCCGCTGCCGAACCCCAGCAGCGGGCTGAGCGGGACCCCGGCAGGCAGCAGCGTGCCATTAAAAATCCTGCCCGACCCAGCCCGCTCTTCTGCGCCCCCCGCCCACCGCTCTCTCTGGCGGGGGCAGGGAGCAGAAGCAAGCTTGCTCCTGCCGGCTGCTGCTGTACAGCCGGCTCTGCCGGCAGCCAAGCTTTCCCCTCCCCTGCCTCTTCCCCCAGCATGCTGTGTGGAGCCCCGCCTCCTCTCCCTCCCTGCCGCCGATGGCCCTTGCGAGGGAGGGGAGAAGAGCAGCCCCAGCGCCCTTGCTGCTCAGACCGGTAAGGAGGTGGGGAAGAGAGGCAGGAGCAGGGCCTTGGGGAAGGGGGGTAGGAGCAGGGCGTATCCCTCCAGCCCCTTGCCGTGAGCCACTTAGGGCAGGGGGCTGGGAGCACCCCCGTGATCCCAGCCCCCCCAGCCCTCTGCCCTGACCCCTGCACCTCCCTTGCACCCCAGCCCCCTACATCCCCCCCAAGACCCCCATCCCTGATTCCTGCACCCTTCACACATCCCCACCCCCCACCTTGAGCACCAGGTTGGCAGCGGGCTGAACGGGGCCGGCAGCTGGGACCCCAGCTGGCAAGGGGCCGGCAGCCAGAACCCCAGACCGGCAGCGGGCTGAGCTACTCGGCCCACTGCTGGTCTGGGGTGCCAGCCCCATTCAGCCTGCCGCCGGTCCGGGGTCCCGGCCCCTGACCCTGCTCAGCCTGCTGCCAGTCTGGGGTTCTGGCTGCTGGCCCGGGGTTTTGGCTGCCGGCCCCTTACCAGCTGGGGTCCCAGCTGCCAGCCCCACTCAGCCCCCTGCTAACCTGGGGTTCTGGCTGCCAGCCCCTTGCCAGCCAGGGTTCCGACTGCAGGCCCCGCTCAGCCCGCTGCTGGCCTAGGTGAACGGAACCCCAGGCTGGCAGCGAGCTGAGCGGGCCGGCGGCTTAAGATCAGCATTTTAATATAATTTTAAATGAAGCTTCTTAAACATTTTGAAAACCTTGTTTACTTTACATACAACAGGAGTTTAGTTATATTATATATAGACTTATAGAGAGAGACCTTCTAAAAAATGTTAAAATGTATTACCGGCATGCGAAACCTTAAATTAAAGTGAATAAATGAAGACTTGGCTGACCACTTCTGAAAGGTTGCCGACCCCTGATTTAGGAGTAGGTGAGTTACAGATCTGAAGTTCAGGTACATGCCCGTCTCTATTTTAAAATTCCTGTGTATTTTGATCCATAAGAGGAATGACTGGAACACAAGGAAACTAAACAGCACTATTTGTTCTATGACATTGGTATTTGGATAAACTATTCTTGTCCTACCTCACTGCTTTGGAAGGGATAGGGGGAGACTTAAAACACAACTGGAAAGTAGGTTTTTGTTTGGTCAACCATATCAATGAATAATTCAGAATAAAATAATTTAGAGAAATGAACAACTTACTGCCTACAAGTAGTTCAGCTACTTTCTTTGAGGAAAGATGGGTCGATTGGAATGAACTGACCCAATAAATAATAATATACATTTTATAATAACCATGTGGATACTACTGTAACTCAATTCAACTCTGCTGAATTCCCTCATCTTTCATATTTCTCATCTCTTTTACTATTTATGTGAGAAAATAATTTGTATAATCTACTATTCTGTTTATCTTTAATGATAAGTTAGCATTTATTATTATTATTATTTTAACAGTACCATATAGCGATTCCAAATGAGATTGGAGACCCAATGTGCTAAACAGTGCTAAGAGACAGCCCCTGCCATTTAAATAGACAAGACAGAAAATGGCAGGAGACAGGAAATATTCTCTTTATTTTACAGCTGGAGAACTGAGCTACAGATATTTGCCTATGGCCACAGAGAATGTCTGCAGCAAAACTGACAATTAAACCTAGATCTCCTGAGTCCCAGTCCAATGCCTTAATCACAAAACCATTTTTTGTTCCTAAAAATAAGGTAAAGGCATTTATGCTTTATAGATACAGAGCAAAATATCCAAAAGCGCCAAAAGGTCATAGAAGCCTATATCCCAAGCTCTTAGACCCAAGTCCCAAAATGTACTTAGGCACCTAACTCCCATTGATTTCAGTGGGAGTTAGACATCCATATACCTTTGAGGATCTGGGCCTAAGTCATTTTTATAAATGAAACTGAGGCTCCGAGGTCACTTAGGCACTTAAAAAATATATTACCTATAAATGGTTCCACTTTTGTCAGTGTGTTTGTCCACAGAAAGGAAAATGTATGCATACATAGGGGTTGGGGAGTTACGCAGTTCAGTCTCGTGGCAGCCTTTCCAACAATGAAGAGGGTCTTAGTCTGATATTCCCCAAATCTGACCTTATAAACAGAACTTTCAAGGAGCTTTGCACATCCCAAAATATTGTCAAAAGTTTTCAACTACTCTAGGAGCCGGTGCTGGTGCATGTTGTGGTTGGTCCTCACACGGCTGCTTTTTCTTTCCCCACTTATAGGAAACGGGGGGTGGAAGAAGCAACCTTTTTTTTTTTCATATTGACGATTATATGGAACGAGCATAAATATTAGAACACGAACTGATTAAAAGGAAAAGCGAGTCCCTCTCCAGCAATTGTAATGTCAGGTCACCTTAGAGTCACAGCCTGTCCTGTTTCACCGCCTCCTCAGCTGTACCAGCAGCCACTGGTGCTGTCATTCCCACCTCCGCGTGTCTCAGCAGCCTGGCCGCTTGCCCAGGGAAGAGGGGATGTGTGTGTCTCTCTCCCACACTTGCACCCCCAAGCAGACACTTCCGTCACACAACGCTCCCAGCCCCGAATCAATGGGGCGGCGCTGAGGTTCCCTCCCTACCCCACTGGCCATTCTAGTCACCAGCCAGTCACTGTTGGCAATAATCAGATCACTTTAGCACTGGGACATTGCCCTCCCTGCTGGGGGGCGGGGGGGTGGACGCTGTGCGGCGCCTGCAGGTGACCCCTGGCCCTGCCCCCTCCGCCTGTGCTGAGGCTGCAGGGAGAGGGGCTGGCAGGGCAGCGTTTCCCGATCTCGCTGCTCCAGTCCAGAGATCCTTAACGGGTTTTCCCTCCCTCTCCCTCTTTCTCTCTTTTCCTCTCTTTCCCCTTCCTCTGCTCCCCCCTCCCCCTCCTCTGTGTGTGCGCCTCTTCCTCTTCCCTCCCTCCTTCTCCTCTTTCCCACCCCACCTCTCTCCTTTCTCCCTCATCAGCTCGCCGGGCGACCCTGCTCACCGTACCCACATTAATGGCGGCATCTTCGGAGGAGGAGATAGACCGGAGACCCATCAGGAGAGTCAGGTCCAAGAGTGACACCCCTTACCTCGCAGAGGCCAGGATCTCCTTCAATCTTGGGAGAGGTAAGAGCGACCCCTCTCCCTGTCCATCCCCCCCGAGGCACACACACAGACACACGCCCCAATGCTCATCCCTTCCCTGCCACCCACCCCTTCCCATCCTCAGGCTGCTGCTGCACTCCACTCTGCCTCTTTGTGTCTGCTGGGTGCAGGGCGCTGCTGAAGGTATGTGAAGCCCTGACATGTCACGGTCACACAAGCATTTCTCCCCTCCCTTCGCTCCCCAGCCGTAAGACACTGGTGCAATACAAAATGAACTGGCGGGAGGGGGCAGCATGGATGGGCAGGAGGGGAGGACTAAGACGTGGTGGTGGCAGCGTTCAGTTCCTGTCATGGAGTAAGCAAGCAGTGGAGTAATTTCCCCCTCAAAGTTTTTTTTTGGGGGGGGGAGCGAAAAGAGACCTACACAGTACCACAATCACCCCTAATATATCTTTCCTCATTTATCTCCCATCTTCCCCCATAAGGGTCTAGATAACTAACTCTCCCCAGACATCCCCTCCATCTATCCTCCTCCCAGCTTTCCAGGATGTCCTCTCTTTTCACACCTCATTCTTTCCCCAGACTTTTCATTCTCTCTTCCCTTTCCCCCAAAGACCTTTCCCCCCCCCTTTCCTCAAACCCATCCCTTTTCCTCTATGCCCCTTATTCTCCCTCCAAACCTCTCTCTTGGCCCCTCAAACCACTTAGTCTCCCTATCCTCTGCCCCCAAACTACTCTCCCCCCAAAAGCCGTCTCCTCTTTCGCTACCAAATAGCCCTACATCCCTCATTCTTTCTTCCTTTCCTTTCCCCAAACATTCCTCCTTCTATTACCATGCTCCTCCTTCCCCATCTGTCCTCCAACCCCCTTTACTCCCAAATCCCCATTTCCTCTTCCCTGTCCCCAACACCTATTTCCCTCCTCCCAAATTTCCTTCTCACCTCCCTCTCCCTGCAAACTCTCTTTCTCCCTTTCCTCGCCCCTTCCCTCAAGCCCCTAATTCTCTTTCTGTCCTCTCCAATAATACTCTCTCTCCCCCCAGCCCTACATCTCTCTCTGCAGACTCTTCATTCTATTCTTCCTTTCCTCAACTTCTAGAATCCCTCCCTTTCTCATAGCCCATCATTCTTGTCCCTCCCCGTCAAACTACGCTTCCTTCCTCCTTCTCACCAGTCTCCTCTTTTGCCCAAATTCATTCATTCCTCCCCTGAAATCACCCCCATTGTTCCACTTGTAATTCCTCCAGTCTTTCCTCCCATGCCTCTGTCCCCAAGATTAGTCTGAAACTTACACCTATATCCTTCCCACTCTCTCTGCCCCATGAGATCCCATGTTCTCTCACAGTAACCCTGACATTCCCTCTCTCTGCCCCTCAATGTGTCACATCCTTCCTATTTGCTCCACCTTTCCCAGGTCTTCTCTCATCCCTTCAACTCCCCAAATTCACCCCTCTTCTTTCTGCTTCCATCCCTTATCTCTCCCCTCCACCCCCGCCACATAGACACTGCACCCAGAGCTGCCCTCCAGCTCCTTTTTCACCTCTCTTCTTTCTGTCTCCCTGTCCTCGAGGTCCTCCAACATTATGCCTGTTCCCTCCCAGATCCCCTTTCACGTTATTCCTGCCATCCTCAAGGTCCTTTCCCACCAGGCCTGTACCCCTCCCCTCTCCATTGGGCCATTCCCCTCTTCAGGGTCTCCTGCCCATGGTGATCCTCCCTTTACCTGCCCTCAAAAGTGAGGAAAGGAGAAGACAGCTGCTCCTGGGTGGTTACTCAGTTTCCTCCATACCAGACCACCAGGCTATCCTTGCATAGGAGGGAGGGAATTGAGATAACTTTAGAGAGGAGTCTCAGCTGCAGTCTCCTGACTTTCCCACCAGGGTACACTGAAGTAACCCTACTGGCAGGATCCTACAATGCAACTCCCTTTTTCATCAGAGCCCCTCAATTCAACAGCTCACTGTGGGAAGAGAGTTTGACTGAAAGCTCCTGCTTGCTATGTTGTAGTCTCTCTCCCTTCCCCCTCAACAGGTTGCAAATTGGAGGTGATAAAGATGTAGTTGTTTTCTCCTCCAGACTGAAAGTTGGTGCAGGACAGATTCATCCCCTTGGTAACTAGTAATATGCAGGTTGTGTTTACCATTGACTGTGACTGGTTGATTATGTTGTTCGCAGTCTGATTATCCCTTTCTGGTCATGATTAGTTTTTTAAAAATTATTGAATAAAGCTTTAGGTTGGCTGGGTGGCATTTCAAGGCAGGAGTTAGAAAGTGATGCCAGTAGGTGGTATTGATTTTAAGGAACTGAAAGTGAAAACAGACAAGACGTAGGAGTGTGGGGAGGGGTTGGTGGGGTATAGGAAATGATGAAGTGTAAATGAAAAGAGGATGTGCATGGTTACTTGATTGCTGAAAGTAACTCCAGGTTGGCCTTCACTGTCACAGGTGACATTATGCCTTGGAGTTATAAATAGATTATCAGTTGAGAGGAAGGTACCTTCAGGTCACCTAGTGCCTCACATTTCTACACTGAGCTGGACTTGCAGACATTACTACAGCAAGTCCTGGAAGGTCAGGTAGAATGCTGCTCTTTCTTTCTTTCTTTCTTTCTTCTGTAATTCCTATGAAAATTGGATAAGTACATTTAGTTCCCCTTTTAATTTGTGTGTTTTAAAGCTCCATTTCTAACCTCTCAGGAATGGACTTCCTTTAAAGGGAATAATTCAAAGAAGTAGCACTGGAAAGATTTGTGAAGAAACAGAATAAAACTGTTTAAAGCAGGTGCGAGTGGATGTTTTCATTAATCCATCTGGCACTGGGTGGTTTGAGTTTAAAAAAAAAAGAAATTGCTTAGCAACCCGTGTTTAAGTTAGTGAGCTAACTCAGTGAAATATGCCAGTGATCTCCGCTCCATTGTTGAGCTTTTGGTTTTATTTTTGTGACTGTTTTTCAAGAATGCATAAATCAAGGGCCTTTAATTTCAGAAGGACCCGTATTCCAAAGAACCAGTTTTATTTTAAAGATGGTTAAACTTCTACTAGATCTGATTATGTTATATGGTGTAGGGTTAGGTTTTGAAAACCTCTTGTTTATAAGGAATGGTGTGTTTGTATATTTTTAAGGTTCATATAATTGTTTGTGGCAAAAAGTATTTCTGAACTTGTCTGCTGAATTTTAGGGTTAGCAAACAAAGCTTGTGTACATTTTATTAAGAATTACTTTGAATATTTTATATTTTTAGGAAGTATTGATACAATAGTTATCCCTTAAGTTATTGTATGTGTAGCTTTCATGAAACAGTTAAAGGTGCAATTAAAGAAAAAACACTTAATTCATAGCTGGCACCCCAATGAACCTTTACTTTGTATACTTATTGCTTATTCAGGGTAAGAGCTGTGCTCTCTGGTATTCAAATGGTATTCACTGCAGAAAGTAGAAGCACTTACTGAATGTTGAATGGAGCCCATTTGGAATCTATCTGGAAATAGATTCCCCATTCTGTATCTCTCCTCTTTATGTGTCCATTGCTAGTACTATTTCTTAATTGTGAAACTACCAGATATTACTCTTTTCTTATTTCAAATTTAATTACTGCACTGGTGTAGAGCTGAGAGGTTTAGGGTCAGGGAAAGACTCCAGAGCACATGTGAACATGAGGAGCTGTTCATTCCAGGTGGTGCTGAATAGAGTGTCTGTATGCTACCAAGAAAAATGGACTCTATTCATTGTTTAAAGTCTCTCTCTCTCTCTCTCTCTCTGCTGTGTTTTCCTCTATGTCCATGTGTGTGAGCTGTGTGTTTCTGTGCAAGTGCATATATAACTGCGTCTGTGTACATGGAGAGAGGAAGCGAGGTGGAAATGAGGAAGGAATGTCATTTCCCCTACTCAGTGATTCAGTCAGGACTAAAGTGATGCTTAGGGCACAGGAAATATCCCCTTCCCTACACACCTACGGGTTACCTCCCATTTAATGCATTTCATGTGTACACTCCTGCTGCTCAAACACAGCCTATAGTGTTTTTCCTGCCAACTGCTACAAGCAGGGTTGAATCCCCTTTTGATCCGGTCATTGTCTTGTTCCAGGATACTCGCTGGGATAGGATGCAGCGTGCTGTTGCTTTGCTTTATTTGAACTTTAAATCCATTATTATTATTATCTATATGCAGATGGAGTTAGTGCTACACTTCTCCACCCTTAAATTTAATGGCAACCACTAGTTAACAGCAGTCTTATTTATCTACTTCAGCTGCAAGTTATAATTATACCATTACTGCTGTTATCTGTATTGTTGCCAGATTGCACACACACAGTCAATTACATAATTTGGGTAGAGCAAGGAGTTGGTATGTTTCTCAAAAACAATTTATAAACAATTAAGCAAGACTAACTTTATCTGCCCCTCCAATCAGATTATATTCATAGTTTATTTTTCATATTACTTTCATTAATTAGTTTTCAAACAAATATTTGTTTATGATGTTTGTTTCCAAATACTGATCAATTATAGTATTATAAATATTCCCTACTGTGAAATTCCAAATGCTGTTCAATTAGTATACTCTATCATATCTTATTCAAGCCTTCTTGGACTGATTAAAAAGAAACAACGTTGTTTTCCAAACTAAGAGGACTATTCTCCCTACTGATGTACACATGCCAATCCTAGTAATCTCAGTTATATGCTCATATCAAGAGGATAATATTTCTCAAAGGACTTCAATTGCCTCTTGTGCATCAATGAATGTAGCTAAGGAACATTATAAAACTATAGACTGATATAAAATGCTTTTTTGCTTATCTGATACTGTATCAGTCCATGTGCAAATAAATGCTATATCTGAAAACTAAATGTGCTTACACAAGGACCTCAGCTCCACACAACAAGAATGTGTTCTTACTTTATTTTTTGAAAACTATAAAGGGCCTAATTTTTTAAAATTACTAGTGATTTAGGTGCATCAATTTCTGGGTGCCCAACCTGAGATACTTTAAAGGGGCGCAAGTTCTCAGCATCTGACCTCT